GAATTACCAGACATCGGTGATCAACGGGACAGTTACTTGCAACGAGCAAGAAAACTGTATGACACGCAGGCAAACATTGTCATAAACCAAAGAATGCATCCAACAAAACAATCCAAAATAGACACATTTTTTTCCCAAGACAGAAAAAAAATAAACATTAAAATACTGTACGTATTTTACTGTTGTGATTTTTTTTGGATACACCTGTATTGCAGTTTTCTTATGTAAACAGTTTTTGGACAGTATATTTTTGTATTTTATTGATTGTGTTGTTACACGTGCATTTTGTCAACATACTTGCAGGTTCATAAAGGACATGGACCATGCTCATTTCCCAAATGAAGAATTTCTGTTATCAGGACAAATTGGACAGCGCAAACACGAGTCCGCACGAGAGAATCTTTACTGTATTATGTTTTGCGGCTGCGTGGTGGTCGACTGGTTAGCTTGTCGGCGTCAGTGCAGAGGTGAAAGGTTCGATTCTGGCCCCGTCCTTCCTGTGTAGAGTTTGCATGTTCTCCCCGTGTGCGTGGGTTTCCTATGGGTGCTCCGGGTTCCTCCCACATTCCCAAAACGTGCGTGGCAGGTCAATGAAACACTCTACATCAGGGGTCTCAAACTCCGGTCCTGGAAGGCCGCTGGCCTGCATGTTTTCCAAGTCTCCCTGTTGCAACACACCTGATTCAAATGATCAGATCATCAGGAAGCTCTGCGGAAGCCTGACACTGAACCTGTTCATTTCAATCAGGTGTGTTGCAACAGGGAGACTTGGAAAACCTGCAGGACAGCGGCCCTCCAGGACGTGAGTTTGAGACCCCTGCTCTAAATTGTCCCTGGGTGCGATTGTGAGTGTGAATGGTTGATTGTCGATGCGTTGCCTGCGACTGGCCGGCAACCAGTTCGGGGTGTCTCTTGCTTGCTGCCCCAACACAGCTGGGATAAGATCCAGCACACCCGCGGCCCTTGTGAGGATGAAGCAGATTGGAAAATGAATGAATAGATTATGTTTTTCCATTCACAGACCTCCCAGCTCAAAGGACGTTCAGAAATACCATTCTGACCTTATTTGATAAATGTTATAATGAAGGTCAACATTGAAATACAGGAAAATCTTCTGTTTTTGGGCTCCTATTTTTATATCTCACTTCAGGGAAATAGTGACTCATCAGTCATGAATCTCTCCGATAATGAGGTAGGGATTTGAAGAAGACACGGCTGATCCAAGCTTTTTGAGCAAAGAGAACTTTATTGGCCAGCAAGCGACACACCTACCATACAATATGTAGGGCTCCATCACATATTTCATAACAAAATGGAAAATGCCCATTTTATTCAGGATTGCTTTCAATAAAAGATGATGAAACACATATCTCGATACGTGTAGTGTGGTGCTGTACTGTCAAGGACTATACAGCTAAAGTAAAAATAAAGAAAGAAAGAATCCAAAAATGAAGAACTCAATCAAACAACCCAACCTCCTCTGAAAATGAGTTCAAACAGACTACATTAAAAAACTACAACGCAAAGCCAAATAAAAACTAACCATAATGAAGAATCCAAAAGTATTATAACGGTGATGACAATGCTAGATTTTCGAATTCATTATGACAACCCCCCCAAAAAAACATTTTAATGCACTCAAGGAAAAGAAAGGATCACCATCTCATCAAGAAGGTACATAAAATACAATCAGCCTGATGAAGCCTGCTCAGATGGGAGGTGAAAATTTCTTTAACTGTTCATCTCATCATCACCCTCATGATTCTTAATCTGAGACTTCCATGAGAATTTTTGGCCACAAACTGAGCAGGAAAAAGGTTTCTCACCAGTGTGTGTTCTGGTGTGTGATTTTAAAGTTCCCTTTTGAGAAAATCTTTGGCCACAAACTAAGCAGGAAAAGGGTCTCTCCCCAGTGTCGGTTGTTTCATGAATTCTTAAGGTTTTCTTCTCAGAGAATCTTTGACCACAATCTGAACAGGCAAAAGGTTTCTCACCAGTATGTGTTCTGGTGTGTGATTTTAAGTTTCCCTTTTGAGAAAATCTTTGGCCACAAACTAAGCACGAAAAGGTTTTCTCCCCAGTGTGGGTTGTTTCATGTATTCTTAAAGTTCCCTTTGAAGAGAATTTGCGGCCACAATCTGAACAGGCAAAAGGTTTGGCACCACTGTGGGTTGACGTGTGTCTTTTTAAGATTTGCTTCCGCGAGAATCTATGGCCACAAATTGAGCAGGCAAAAGATTTCGCACCAGTGTGGGTTCTTTTATGACGATTTAAGCTTCCCTTGTGAGAGAATCTTTGGCCACAATCTGAACAAGAAAAAGGTTTCTCACCTGTGTGCGTTCTTTTGTGATCATTTAAGCTTCCCTTCAGAGAGAATCTTTGGCCACAATCTGAACAGGCAAAAGGTTTCTCACCAGTGTGTATTCTCATGTGTCTTTTTATGTTTCCCTTCACTGAGAAACTTTGGCCACAAACTGAGCAGGAAAAAGGTTTCTTACCTGTGTGGGTTCTTGTGTGGTTTATTAGATTTCCCTTCTCAGAGAATCTTTGGCCACAATCTGAACAGGCAAACGGTTTCTCACCAGTGTGGGTTCTTTTATGACGATTTAAGTTTCCCTTCTGAGAGAATCTTTGGCCACAATCTAAACAGGCAAGAGGTTTCTCACCGGTGTGGGTTCTTGTGTGGTCCGTTAAGGTTGTCTGAGAGAATCTTTGGCCAGAATCTGAACAGGCAAACGGTTTCTCTCCAGTGTGGGTTCTTGTGTGGTTCATTAGAGTTCCCTTCTGAGAGAATGTTTGGCCACAATCTGAACAGGCAAAAGGTTTCTCACCAGTGTGTATTCTCATGTGTTTTTTTATATTTCCCTTCACTGAGAAACTTTGGCCACAAAGTGAGCAGGAAAAAGGTTTCTTATCTGTGTGGGTTATTGTGTGGGTCATTAGACTTCCCTTCTGAGAGAATGTTTTGCCACAATCTGAACAGGCAAACGGTTTCTCACCAGTGTGGGTTCTTTTATGACGATTTAAGTTTCCCTTCTGAGAGAATGTTTGGCCACAATCTGAACAGGAAAAAGGTTTCTCACCTGTGTGAGTTCTCACGTGTAATTTCAAATGACTCTTATCAGCAAACGTTTTGCCACATCGAGAACATCCCCAGGGTTTGTTGTCAGTGTGACATGACAGATAACCATCAGACTTTTCATCCTCATCATCATAAACATTTGATGATGTGCTATCACCATCTTTCATGCAAGGGTGCTCTGGCTCCTCCTCTCTTTTAATGCAACGGGCCTGCTGTTCTTCTTCCTCTTTTAAGTGGGAGACCTCTCTGCTCTCCTCTTCCTCTTTAAAGTGAGAGGGCTCTGCATCCAGCTGCTCAGGACAAACATCTTCACTGATGTCTGCAAGACACAAGAAGACAAAAACACCCATGAAATTGTGGTTTATAATAACAATGAAGGTTACTTGGAGAGCTCCATGAGTTCAGATTACAACTCATTATGTGACATTGCCAGCATCACATAGTGGAGGATTTTTCTTTCTTCCTTTGATGATTTTAATTTATTTGTGAAGACTTGTACAGAGTGTGACATTGCACATTTTTGAGTGGTGGATAAGTCCAGAGCGCAAATTCTACCTCGTGCTTTTCACCTTTTGCGGGGGGTTTCTGAAAGGTGAAAAAAAAAGCGATTACTATTCAGTCATCCCTTGCTATCTAGTGATCCCTCACTTATCACGGTTAATGGGGAGAAGAATGACAAAAATCCGCGAAGTAGGGTTGCATCCCTGCCCTCTCCCGCCCCTGCCACCCAAGGAATTTTTGTGTCAGGGTTTGTGGGTACCAGCATGTTTAAAATACGTAAACAGTATTCATATTTTACATATTTGAGACAAACACTATGGCATTACACATATTTACAGTGATCCCTCGCTTATTGCGGTTAATGGGGACTGGGACCACCCGCGGTAGATGAAAATCCACGAAATAGGTTTTGCCCCTCCCCCCGCCCCCTAGGAATTTGTGTGTCCGGGTTTGTGAGTACCAGCATGTTTAAAATATGTAAACAGTATTTATATTTTACATATGTGAGACAAATACTATAGCAGTACACATATTTACTTAAATCCTTAATTATAAAACTTTATACAGTACTGCATTTTCTGCACTAAGGCGCACCGAAAAGTCTTCCATTTTCTCAAGGGCTCACGGCGCGCCTTAAAATCCGTTGCACCTTGTGTATGGTCATTACAGTAATGTCAACCCCAAGATGTCTCTTTGCTGGAGACATGCTTACAATGTTATAACTTGCTGTTGGTTCAGTGAACCGTGTTGCTGTTTTATTAAATAAATTTTGGTTGCAGCTCCGAGAAAAGGAGAGCTGTGCTGTTGTTTTTTTTTTAAACGCACATTTTCTAAATGTTTTTCACAGTCTCAGCAAATAGTTACGTCTGTCCGTCTCCGTGCCTTCTCTTCTTCATTCGACTCGAGAGGCGTTCATGACCGCCTCGAAAAAATGTAAATTAATGATTCCTTCATTGAAACTACGAAAATTGAAAATAATGCATCAAAATAGAAAATCAAGCGAGGAAATCACAAAATAAATTCTATAGCGCCCCCAACAGAATTTATTTTGTGATTTCCTCGTTTGTCAATACAATACACAACAAAGGAATAAATAAACACTTCTGAGACAGTCCAGTCTCCTACAATTTACTGGCATCTGATTCTGTTCTGTTACAGCTACGCTCAAGGAAATGCCAAAATAAATTCTGTCGGGGGGCTATAGAATTTATTTTGTGATTTTCCGTTTTGATGCATTACTGTATTTTCAATTTTCATAGCTGTGCGGGGATAGCTGGCAGGAGTGAGCTGGAAGTTAATGGCGGCTACACCGTCAGAGCGGAAAGTGAGAGCCGCCTTCGACGCCACCATCACAAGTGTCTTCGCCTCTCTCAGGGGGCAGTGCTGATGAATGTGACTTACTGTACAAGGATTTATCATTAAAAATTAAAGTAAGTACATTTGTTTTGTTTTTTTGTTTATTGTTTATTGAACATAAAAACATATACAGTAATAAATTGACAGAAAGTAAGGTATGTAAAATAGTAAAAAGGAAAAAAGAAAACAGTCATACAACACAATTAAATGTTCAAAGGAGGAGGAAGAAGTAATAAAACGCATCTAGTCCTACCCCAAGTTATGTATTAATATATAAATAGATCATTTTATATCAATCAGAAAAGGAAGAAGTCTCCATAAAAGTTCAAGCTTTTACCCTGAACTGTGCTGTACTTATCTATTTTTACAACTTTTATGTCGATTTTCTCTTGTATTCATAACGGATATTGCAGTACATTACTCCATTTATCATCTTAATTCTGATTTATTATTATATTTAATGAATGTTTTGAATTTATCACCTGAAGTCTTTTTTTTGTACTATTCTCTTGAATTTGTTTTTGAACTCAGCAAGCGATTTACTCATTTTCAGGTCCGTTTCAAAATTATTCTACAGATTAACACCTATGACAGATACACTTCTTTGCTTGAAGTTAGTTCTTGTTTTGGATTTTTTTGTATAGATTGGTACCTCTTAAATAATAGCGGCTTTCTCGAATTTCGAAAAACTTCAGGATGTTTTGGCAGAGCAGGTTATTGTGTGCTTTGTTCATTAATTGGGTGATTTTGAAGTCAACCAGGTCATAAAATTTCATCGTGTTTAATTTGATAAATTGTGGATTTGTGGGTTCCGTATATTTAGATCTATTAATAATTGGGATTGCTTTTCTTTGTAGTTTTAAAACAGGGAGTGTGTTTGTTTTACAGGCATTTCTCCGTATTTCCACACAGTAGGTCCTATATGGTAGTCATCATGAAGAGTATAATGTGTACAAAGATCTCTTATTTAGCACATCCTTGGTTTTGTAGAGGATCCCTATGGTTTTGGCTATTTTTGTTTTTAAGTTATCGATATGTGGCTTCCAACATAGTTTTGAATCCGTTACTAATCCGATAAACTTGGTTTCATACACACTTTCTATCTCAATTGAGTTTACCATAATTTTAGCTTGGTGTTTGATTGGTCTTGTGCCAAAAACAATTAACTTAGATTTTTTCAAGTTAAGTGACAATTTATTCCTGTCGAAAGAGTTTTTAAATTTGTTTAATTCATTGTCCACGGTTGTCAGGAGCTGTTTCAGATTTTCTCCAGAGCAGTAGAAAGTTGTATCATCAGCAAATAGGACACATTTAAATTGTTTTGAGACCTTGCAGATATCATTTATACATAAGATGAATAGTTTTGGACCAGGCACAGACCCCTGAGAAATTCCATGAATCATTTTCAGTTGATTCGACTTTTTATTGTTGAACTGCACATACTGATAACTTTTTATCCATTTATATGCTACACCTCTAATGCCATATCTCTCCAATTTATTCAATAATATACGATGATCTATTGTGTCAAAAGCTTTTTTCAGATCTAGAAAAATCCCAACAGTAAATTCTTTGTTGTCTATATTAGTGGCTATTACTTCCACAAACTCCATTACTCCCATTGAGGTGGTCCGTTTTTCCCTGAAGCCATATTGATTTTCACTTAACAGCGCATGTTTCTGTATAAAGTTATCAAGTCTGCTTGAGAATAGTTGTTCTAATATTTTTGACAATTGTGGTAATAGTGATATTGGTCTATAATTTGTGAACAAATGTCTTTCTCCACTTTTATAAATTGGAATAATTTGAGTAATTTTCATTTTTGATGGAAAGATACCAGCTTTGAATGACAGGTTGCATATGTATGTGAAAGGTCACACTACAAATTCTATAATCTATTTTATTATTGTCACATCAATATTAAAGCAATCAGTTGACTTTTTATTTTGAAATGTTCTTACAATATTTGATACTTCATGATTTACAGCAGTAAGGACCATTGTGGAAGAGTTTTTTTCACGTATCTATTTCAAACAAGTTTGTTGGATCAGGAATTTGTTCTGCTAGGTGATATCACAAGATTTTAATGTGATGTTTTCCCTACAAAATACTCCGTTTTATAACATGTTGATTTGATAACACGCCGAGGCAGATGTTGTATAACGTGTTGTTTTCAACGAGTTCCTGTTTCTCAGGAGCCATCGGACTTCATTTCTCATAGGTTGGGCCAGATGGCTCCTGTTTCCCAGGACCGGCCTCATGACAACATAACAGAATTGCGTGAGAAGGAGTTGTTCAGCATAATAGTTTGTGAAACGCCAGTTGATAACGAAGCAAGTGTGGCGCCAAAAGTTGGCCACTCACCCCTTCTTTCGCACACGCTCAGAGAAGGATAAGAGGAGGCTTTGCCGTCCCCTTGCTAGAGTCTGCTGCGGGTTGCGTACGGACGCCCAGCTGATATTGAAGCTCGCTCTACCAAGGGTGTTGGCTCTCCATCCTGTTGGCGCACGGTAAGAGTTGATTCATTCTTAAAGAGCTCAATATATCGCTTGCTGCTTGCTTTGTGACATTTCTTGTTGGTCTAATAAAAGTGCCATTTGTTAGCAACAGAATTGTCTCTTGTGGTTCATTTCTGAGTGCCTATCTCCAACGATCCTATTTAAATTTGATACTGAGCCCAGGCGAGGTATCAGAAATGTTTTAAAACACTAGGTTACTGCCGATATTAACAAAATACTCAACAAATTCAATTGTTATTTCTGCAGTTTTTTTCAATAATAGTATTTTTGTCTTAATAAAATACTCTGGATAATCCACGTTTTTCTATTTCTGATTACTTAAGCATTTTCCATATTTCTTGTGTGTTGCTTTTATTCTGCTCAATTAGTGCATGATAATGGTCTCTCTTACTAGTTCTTCTAATATTTACTCATTTGTTTTGACCGGTCTTATATTTTATTTCTGCCTCTTTAGTTCTCAGTTTTCTAAACAATTTACATAAATTGTTTTTCTTTTTACATGCGTTTTCTGTGCCTTTCTTTATCCATGGCTTACTTGGGTCTTTGTACTTTTTGGAGACTTTAGTTAATGGAAAATGTTTATCATATAAGGAGATTATGGTAGACAGAAATGCATCAAACGCTGTATTTGGGTCTTCATTTGAATAAACCTCGGTCCAGTTTTGTTTTTCTAGGTCTTGCTTATTAAAAGCATTGATGGAGCGTTGGGTTCTTAGTCCTATTTCTGATATGTGAGTTGTTGACTTTGTTTTTCTATCAAAATAATTATGAAAAACTGCACAGACAGGTAGATGGTCACTTATATCAGTAATAAGAAGTCCACTTTCCATTTTATGGTCAATCTTATTGATAAATATGTTATCTCTTAATGTGGCTGTGTCAACTGTTATTCTACTAGATTTCAGGATTACTGGGAAAAGACTGTTGCTATAAGATAAGATATCCTTTATTTGTCCCACACTGGGGAAATTTACAACAATTTTATATATAGTATTTATGAAGTCAGTTGTTTTTGTATGTCCATTTGGGTTTAATAAGTCAATGTTAAAGTCACCACACATTATTGTTTTTTTTTTTATCCTATCTGTGTTAGAGGAATCTATGAGCAAAATTGTATCATGTTTAAAGTTTCATTTAATTTGGGCACATCTAAACGTTTGGGTGTGTATCCGGCACCCCCAAATGCCTGTGCACAAAGGTGCCGGCCATCTGGCCGGAGGGCTGTTGAAGTCCACAATTAGCACGTCAATGCAGGTGGGCGATCACAGGGGAGAGGGCGAAGCTCGGTCACAAAAGGGGAATGAATAATTCGGGAACAGCGGTTGAACAACAAAAGACGAGTTGAGAACACCCATCGCGCCCAGGCGACATTGGCCATCCGCAAAGTCTGCAACATGTTAATTCGATGTCGACCAGACAGAAAAGGCGCCAATGTACCGGTGGTTCAACGCTTAAACTCAGGTAACCAATCACTACCGAGGGGCCGGACCGGGGGTGCGGTATGCAAATGTCGGGGGCAGTGTTTTCCTTGTATGTTACAATAAAAGTCGGAATTGGCGGGAAGGGAGCTCGAGTGTGTGATCATCGGAGCAACTACCGTCGTTCGCTCTCAGAGATCTGCTCCCGCTGATATTGAAGACAATTTTCCTGTGTGCCGAGTCATTTCTTTAACGTTGTCCGAGAAAATCTCTGACAATCTGTTAGTTTTTTAGTGAATGTGTCAATACGTGATTCTGGTGTCCTATAGATGCAACTTATGATGACATTTGATGCCTTTTTATTATGTATTTCAATAGTTAGACATTCCATTAGTTTTTCTCTTGTGCTTGTCAATCTCTCGATTTTACTGCATTTAAGTGCTTTGTCGACATATATTGCAACTCCCCTCCTTTTTTGTTTTCCCTATTTGTTGCAAACATTTCATGTCCTTCTATTTTCATTTCACTTGTTTTTTCACCTTTTTGATTGACAGCGAAATGAGCCAATCACCGATCTTTTAGTGTAGGCATCCGTGGGAGCATCTTTCAATTCTCATTCTGTTCTGAGTTGAACTGGGGACTTCTTCCAATCATCTTAGCGACACTCTCTCGCTGTACCACGACTAGCGACGAATTAATCTTTTATTTCTGGTGGGTTTTATTGTAGTTGCTGTAGTTGTCGGACACTAGTTAAGTCCCTGGAAAAGACGCCTTGTTGGTATGACAGGGTCACAGATAATTTTCTTGAAAAGGAACGGAGAGTAGAATTCACGAAAAATCAATGGACACATCTCATAATGTCGGCCAAAATTGAGCTTCCCCTCCTTGACAGACCAGCATCCGCCACTGATATATATACACAGGTATATACATACACACAAACACACACACACATGCACGCACGCACACGCTGCGTACAAGAAAGACAGCGTTTGAAGGCTGTTAAGAAAGAGTCAAAAACAAGCGAGATGAACAGCTTGACCCAACCTAATCGGTGAAGAACAATTCTTGGCCACATCCTGCCAATGGCATCCAGCAGCTGACGTTGTCCCTTGTGGTCCTCTTTTTCTCCACAAAGTTCCTCCTCGTATTCTGCTGTCCTTGCACACATTGTTCACACTAAAATTACAGAAACACTTTAATGCTGACGATCTCTGCGGAGCGATGTGTTGAACACAAGCCAATAGTATCCAGCTGCAGACTCGGAGGAGGTAGCTTCAGGCAATGGTAGACATACGCCTGGTAGACATACGCCGGAAGTGGCTGTGGTAAGTTTCGGCAAATTTGATTTTCAAAATAAAGTCCCAAATTGGCTGTGGTACATTTAGGCAAATTTGATTTTCAAGTCCCGGAAAAGTCTAGGTTTATTTATCTCACTTACTTAGCACTTACTATATATATATATATATA